TATTCATCATCATCATCAGCATCATCATCATCATCATCATCTAAATCAGCATCAGCATCACCATCGTCATCGTAATCATCATCATCAGCATCATCATCATGCTTGGCATCATCATCGACATCATCATCATCACCATCAGCATCGCAATCAGTTCGCATTATCTTCCTATTACACTTCCTCCTCATCATCATCGTCAGCATCATCATCATCAGCAGCAGCGTCGTCATCATCATTGTCATCATCGTCGTCAACAACATCAGCAGCATCATCAGCATCAACATCAGCATCAGCATCATCAGCATCATCATCAACAGCATCATAATCATCATCCTTATCATCATCGTCATCATCATCATCACCATCATCATCGTTGGCATCATAATGGTCCGCATCGTCATCAGCCTCGCCCTCGACCTAGTCCTCCTCCTTCTCTTCATCGTCAGCATCATCATGCATCTCTCTTCGTAGACGCGAAGCAGCCATACGAGTGCAACTCATCAATAGCTGGAGGCTGGCACATTGGGGATTTCGAATGCTACAGTGTTCTATGCTGGGGCTAACGCGTTCAGCAGCATCTCGAAGCAATCCATGCACGACATTGACTACCAGCAGTATGGCATGGGAGATGTATGGCAGGGGACGCAGAACAAACATGCCAGCTACGTCACCACTAATGCAGCAGATAAAGATGGCACCTACCTCATGGGCGAAGGAGTCTTGCAGGGTCATCAGTCAGCCCCCGATAAATACAATCGAGCATTCCAGTACAATGTTTTTGAACCGTGGCTTGCGGACAGGAATGCGACTCCTGAAGGGGCGGCTTTGCAGCGCAGTTCTCCCATTCGTGCTGAGCATGTGGACCTCTCGACGATGTCGCGCACAAACTTTCTGGGAACCACGCCGAGGAAAGTGGCTGCTTGGCTTGATGAAGCCAGCAAGCAGCTCGATGCGAAGTTGTGGACGGTGGGCGGCACTCAGACACACGACAAGCAACAGTTTGTTCCGAGATTGGCTGGACGTGGTGCCATCAAAAATACGAGGACACTCTCCGAGATGAACGAGATATCTGGTGCGGTGGGGCCAGCAGCTACTTATCTTGGAGTTCAAGTTTGGTATTCATGTCACAGTGCACATCAGCGCGCTGCGTGTCTGAAAAATATCAGACGGGCTTGGTGGAGTATGGGGGGGCCTTGGTGTGCTCGCAGTGTGTCGCCTCAACTCAAGAAGCTCGTATTCCAATGTAGGGTGCAAGCCAGTGCGCTCAGCGGTCTCGAAGTCTTCGTCTTGATCGGCAGTGCTTATCGTCTCCTGGATTCCAATGTCTTGGGCTGGGGCAAGAAGCTTCTCGGAGTAAGGATGTTCCAAAATTCCCTCAGCCTGACGGATCCATCAAACATCGTGTTCATACTCCTCAGAAGCGTTGGAGTAGTCTTGGGGTCGTTCCTGCTCGACTCGAACTTCGCATCAGGCGGCTACGTTGGCGTCAGACCCTAGCTGCGCACAGAGATGAAAGCGCTCAGGTGCTCGCAGCGATGTTCGGCAGGCTGCCAGGAGAGACCCAACACAGAGTGCAGGATTTCAAGCTGGTGCGAGACGGCAACAGCGTGTATTAAGGGAAACCGTGGGCACTCCAGGCTCAGAATGACATCCTCGCGATGGCACATGTTGAGCATGTACCTGCTCTCCTTCACAAACTGGGTGATGCCCCTCTTCGAGTCCTTGAAGATGCTTTTCGGGATGAGTTTGGCAAACTGAACCTTAAAACGCTTCGGAAATCGTACTTGGAGGACAGACTTGGATATATATATATATATATATATATATATATATATGCTCGTGTAAGTCAGGGGCAAGGAGAAGGTGGAGGAGAGGTTCCAGAAGGAGGGGAGCTCAACCAGCTGAAGGTGTAGGAGGAGGAGGGGATCACGAGGCCTCCGCTGGACCCCCTGAAGACCCACCTGCTCTGAGATGTGTTTTTGAAAATTAAACGATGACAGCTCCAGGTGTGGTCTCCAGTTCCAGGATAGACAGGAATGGTATGGGCACACGAGGTTCACGAAGGGTGGCACGCACGGAGACCCGTCGTGAAACTCACGGTCACTAACGACTGTCCCTGGCGCATGAGTGTACTATCGAAGCGACATAGTGCACGCCAGCGCGTACGTCGCCTTTTTCTACGTCACGAGAGTCGTGCTGGCAGATGGCATTCAAAATGTCCCATCATGGAATCAGAGTCGTTGCTGTGTCCTGCCTGTGGCGTCGATCACGATGGCATAGAGGCTCTGCAAGATCACATTCGCAGTCACGTCACTCTCGACCCGTCAGCCAAATTTACCTTCGAGAGGCCAGGCGATAGCGGCGTGGGTGGCAGGAGAGCTCTCGACGGTGCAGCTCCAGGATGCGAGGAAGCGGCTGGCGAGTTCTCAAGAAGCCTTCTCAGCTGGTGGCTACGGAAGGCATCGTCAGCAGCGTCGCCGCGGGGAGGGCCCACCGCGAGCTCAGCGACCTGGAACAGCAGCGCACAGCAGGCCCCAAGCAGCCCCCGTGGACACGGAGGAGGTCCACGACGGCGACACCGAGGACGAGGTGGCGGCTAACACGCTCAAGCAAGTGCCGAACGTGACACAGCGTACTCGAGCGTAGGAGGGATGTCTCATCAGCACGCACCCCATGGACAAGGACAACGTTCTCAACATGCACGCGGTGGCGGCAGCTCCGCACTGCATGTCCCTCTATGTAAGCGGATCCACAGGCGCAGCTGGGCCCACCGTCTCGCATGATAGCCATGGTAGTATTGACAATGTTGGTGCTGATGCCCGTGGTGAAGGAAGCGCAGGACATTCGGGCAGAGGTGGCAGGTCTCACAGCTCCAGTGGATCGGCTGCGCGGAGGGAAGATGGACCTGGCAGCCGAGTGCATCAAATATTAGCGACGTCGACTTTCGCCAAGGAGGGGGAGGAGATGGAGGTTCGCCACTCGTTTTACAATCACGCCATCGTTCCGATCGGAGAGCCCCCGAATATGCTGATCGTGCCTGCCAATATCTTGGTCTCGAAGTGCCTCCTGAAGCTGGATCCCTGTCGAAGCCAAGCCCGCCACCGCGAAGGAGGCCCGAGAGGAAGCTTCAGAACTCGTTGCAGAAAATGCAAAAGGGGGGCAAGCACAAGAGTATGAGGCTCGGAGATCGGAGGCGCTCTTGGGCTGAGGGGTAACAGTAGCAGCAGCAGCCGTCCGCCCACCTCTCTAAATATTCTGGGGAAGGGGGGGCCCGGGCAGTGCGTTTCGGAGCGAGGTAGAGTTCAATTTTCGGGCTCCTGGGCTCGCCCGGAAATTCATACAAAGCGTAGGCCCCGACAGGGCAAGGGGAAAGGTCGGGGCTGAGGTCCGATTTAAGCGCTGAGGCCTCCCCTAGACCGAAGGTGGTGTTTCTCCGCCTGCCCCCGCCGTCCTGTTCCGTCTCCCCTAGGTGTCTTCCTGTGGTGTTGTGTGCTCGTGCTCTCGCTTTCCCTCTCCCCCGCTCCTGCTTGCACGTGTTAGGTATGGCAGGCATGGGCGCTTGCGTGCTGTTACCTATACGTGGGCCCTCGTGGTATCGGCCACGCGGCTGGGACGGGGCGAGGAGTGTTAACAAACCGTCCCCCCCTCTGTTTGACACGAGGGCTCTGCTGCATTGCTGACAAGAGGGGCTACTGCGCCAGATCGGCCTCCTCTGAATCTGAGCGTCGTTTCTCCGCCTGCCTCCGCCTTCCTGCTCCGTTTTGCCTCGGTTTCCTCTTGTGGTGTTGTGTCCTCTTGTGTATTGTGCCTGCGTGTGTGAGCTGAGACGGCTGTCTTCTCACTCTCGGGATCTAGAACCACTGCGCAGTGTTCGGGATGATTTCGTTTGGCTTCTCGACCCTAACGCTTCCTATGGTGTTCCCTGATTAGAGATCTAGTCGTGGCAGGAGTGCCGACTTTCAAATTTCGCGAGGGGGCCTGCCCTCAGTATGAGCACAGCGGTCAATTCTACTCCGGATCTCATAACAATGGGGGGGGGGTCTGCATTTGGGGGGGGTCTAACGGGCTTCGTCAAACACAATCGTGGGGGGGTCTCGATTTTGGACCCTTTGTTGCCTGTCTGGGGGGGGTCTACTTCGGGCTGTCATGCAAAACGTTTGGGGGGGTCTCAGATTTCTCGACATCAGATAAAGGTTTTTGGGGGGGTCCAGCTCCCCGCCAGCCGCCAGCTCCCTGGCGACGACGACGACGCCGATGACGACGACGCCTGCGACGACGACGACGACCCCCGCGACGACGACGCCGACGCCGTCGTCGTCGTAGTAGTCGTCGTCCTGGTGTCGACGTCGTAATTGTCGTCGGCGTCGCCATCGTTATTGATGGTGTCGTCGGTATCATCGCCGTCGTCGCCGTTTTCGTCGTCTGCGTCTTCGTGGTCGTCGCAGACGTCGTCGTCCTCGCCGTCGCTGTCAGCGCCGTCGCCGTCGTCGGTGTTGTCGTCGGCGTCGTCGTCGTCGGTGTTATCGTCGTCGTCTGTGTCGTCGGCGTCGTTTTCGTCGGCATCGTCGTCGCGGTGGTCATCGGCGTTGTAGTCGTAGCCGTTGTCGGCGTCGTCGTCGCCGGCGTCGTCGTCGCCGTTTTCTCGGGGGGGTCCCAAAATGCGTGCCCAGACGCTCCTCTTTGGGGGGGGTCCAGATCGAAACGTCATACGATTCTTCTGGGGGGGTCCGGATTTGGGCGCGGTTGCACCGGTCTTGGGGGGGGTCCCAGACTGGCCGTCAAACACTTTTTTGACCCCCCCCCATTATGATGAGATTTGGAGTAATTAGATTGCAATTGCAGGCTCGACCAAATGCTGAGTGCCATCACACCACCTCCTACTCCTCCTCCTCCTCCTCCTCCTCCTCCTCCTCCTCCTCCTCCTCCTCCTCCTCCTCCCGCTTCTCCACCCCACTTCCTCAATCTCGTCGTCCATATCCTCAGCTCCGCCCGCTCGCGCGAGCCCCAGCCAAGCCGAGCTCGTTCCGCTCGTAGTCGTCGAAGAATTGCTGGATGGTCGCGGCATCGTACACGTTGGGATCGTGCTTGCCGAACCTTGGCGAACGCCGGCTACACATCTGCACCGATCCTGATCGGTGCATGCGCCATCCTGGCCTTGGCCCGGGAGGCTTGCGCACCGATCCTGTTGGCCGGGCCAAGATTGGTGCAGGCGTCTTGCCAGCGTCCCCGAAGAGCCCACGCGCGTCGCACCAGTCGATCCATTTCTGCTTGCCGTCGGGGTTCCGCCGCTGCCAGCCACTTTTGGCAGCGGGAGCAGCAGAGCACGGAGATGAACACGAGGAGAAGGAGGAGGAGAAAAAGGAGAAGAGGGAGAAGAAGGGAGAGGAGGGGGAGGAGAAGGGGACAAGAAGGGAGAGGATAGGGGGGGAAGAAGGGAGAGGAGGGGCAGGATGAGGAGGAGGAGGAGGAGGAGGAGAAGGAGGAGGAGGTTGTTGGGGACGGGCCTAAAGCCGAGCTTCTCGAAAAACTATCCGAACTCCGAGGCCTCCGAACCCGACTGCCCAAGCTCATCGGGCGGGGCTCGGATCGAAGCTTCCCCTCGGGCCTTCACCCAGGGGATGCCGGCCTCTTCTAGGCCGAGAGTTTCCAAAATCAGCCCTCGCGAAGCAGCGCCCGACGCAAAGCCAAACAGTTGGGGACCTGTCTCGTCCTAGGGGGCCCGCGCGTGCTCCGCCGGAGCTTGAGCCAGTACCCGACGCTCGACGAGATCCAGGCCCTCGTGGGCCCCCTGAATCGAGTCCTTGAGGTCCTTCTTATAGGACGGAAACCTACCAAGCCGAATGCGCCTCAGCTGGTCGTTGATTCCGCCGGTGGGAGACTTGGGCCTGCACGGCCCCTTCGCTCCAGCGCTCGTTGGGGGCACCCGAGCAACGACAACAAGACTGGATCCTGCTTTTCGGGGAGCCGAGGCAGTCCAGAACGGTACTGGCCAAAAAAGCATGGCCGCTCACACGAAGAACTTGCCGAGAGAACTTCTTCCAGTCTACCACAAGTCCGACCCACCTCCCCCGTCCCGTTGGTCGTCTGCCAGGGCCTGGCCGTCAGCACCTCGCCTCCTGGCAGCAGGTCTGGAGTCGCGCTGGCTGCGGTTCCCTCTGGAGGCGCTTCAAGCCCCGTCGCGTCGCGAGGGCCTCCTGACATCGCAACCTCAAGGCATCCAGCACACCCACGCACTTCACGGGCTAGGCTCTGCAGCCCCCGAACTAGCTGGGCGTTTCCTTCTGTGCCCCCTATGGCAATCAACTCCGAGCTGCGTCAACCTATCTGCTTCGCCGTCAGCCAGCTGCCCCCAGACTGTGCTCCTGCCACTGGCAACGCCGGCATCAGTAGCGCGAGCGAGTCTTGAAGCACTCGAAACCGCTGGGAGCAAAAGAGCCCCACACAGGACCCCCGAGGTGCCCTCTCCGGGCCTCAGGGCCCTCGGAAAAGCCAGGGCCACGAGCCAGGGAGTCCATAGTGCTCAGGAAATAAATGTAAACTTCAAACGGGGGACGGCCCGCCTGCGTGAGCATACACATATATATATATATATATATATATATATATATATATACATACATACATACATACATACAGACAGACAGACAGGCAGACAGACAGACAGACAGGCATACATACATACATACATACATACATGCATGCATGCATGCATGCATACATACATACAGACATACATACATACATACAAAGTCAAGACTTTCCCGTCTTTACTGGTCTGCTGCGGGGCTGCACTCAGTGGCGCTGGCCCATAGGCAGCCGCGATCGCCTGCCCAAAGCGGCCCAGAAACTATAGCCCATCCAGCCCTGGCAAGCCCGTCGATGCCCATGAGCTTGGACGACCCATCCAGGAAGAGCAGCCCTGAAAGAACTCCCGACGGAGGTTGGTTTATCCAATGCACCAACTGAGCAGGCTCCTGGAAAGCGAGGGGGCTCAGGGGACGCGGGATGATGCACCTGGCGAACCGCTCGGCCGTCACAGGGCCACTCTCCTTGACCCTCTAAGCACGCGCACTCAGCCGATGACTGGCGCAATCTCGCCGAAAAGAAGCATGGGCTGGGCAATCAGATTGCCTGTAAAATCATGTACATGGGGCACCCCGGCAAAAATGGCCCAACTCGTCGCCGTGCAGATTGTGCCTGAACGACCGCTCCTGGGGCCAGCGTACACCTGAGACAAGGACCACGGAGGTAACGCTGGTGATGGCTGCTCGAAGTGACCGACTTCTCTCGACTCCCCCTCCTCCTTCTCCTCCTCCTCCTCCTCCTCCTCCTCCTCCTCCTCCTCCTCCTCCCCTCCCCCTGCTCCTCCTCATCCTTTTCCTCCTCGTCCTTCTCCTCCTCCTCCTGATCGGGTACACCTGTTGGCCGTGTTGGCCGTGCCGGAGGAGAAGAGGGAGCGTCTGTCCGACGCGCGCGCCGCCAGGTTGCCGAACCAAGGCCCTGACCTGCATCGGGGAGAACTGCAGCAAGTTGAACTTGACTCCAAAATTATTGACCACACGGCGATGGTCCTTGAAGTCCCAGCCGAGCCCACGCAGCGTGAGCGAGGCCACATCACTCAGGGAAGTGGCCGATCTCCAAAAGTGCCTCGAATACTGAAACTTGACCATGGAGTGCCGCATCGCGCTAGCCAGGACCCGGGTTTTCGGAACCGCTTCCCAGACAGCCGTGGCCCACATGAAAAAAACACGCGCCCAGCATGCACGATCAACGGGTCGACCTTGGACCCCAAACTGTAGGTGCACATGCGGAGCCGAACCGAAACGCATTTTGGGGGGCCTGCAGAGGGAACTTGCAGCGCCGATAAGTAGGCCCGCCATCTTGGCAGGGGCCACCGACCAAACACTCGAGCCCCAGAGGCCCGCAGCTGTAGGGCCCGTGCGATGAACCATCCCAATATCCGCTCCAGCCTGCTGCGCCATCTCTAACCTCCTGGAAAGAGCCGATGACGAAGCTAGACAAGCATTCTAGATGCCGACCCTTCTGACCCCACCCAGCGTCGCATTGGTTCCGAGATCCCTCGTTGCGTCCGTCCGGCACGCGGGAGGAAGGCTCCAGAGCTAGGAGAGGTGCTCTTCAAATTCCCGAGAGCAGAGGAAGCCGCAATTCCTGTACTCAACTGGCAGCTTCAGCTGCTTGAAAGACATCAGAGAGGGACCCCACTCCACCTGCCAACTGCGAAGCGACCTGAACTTTCGGACTGCAGCACTGCAAGGGAATGTCGTCGACTAGATTTCTCATGCAGTGTAGGTTCGGATGCCCACTTGCCTCCAGAAGCGGGCCGACAAAAGAGTGGCAAACGTCGTGGCCCCCGAGCCGCCAGCAACAATAGCCCCATTTGGCTCGACAACCTGGGAAGCCGCCCCTCTGTCGAGCAGCGCGCGGAAGCCAGCGTAGACGGCACAATACCCTCTCATGAGCCTGACAAGGAAACCGAACCGCTTGGCAGCCTCGAGCAGATGACTGTGGGACACATTCTCATAGCACTCACCGCTATTGGACCTGGCTAGCTAGCCAGGTCCAATAGCACGGAAGCCGTTTCGAAAGCTGCTTTCCTACAATGAGCTCCTAACAAGTTGTGCACCCAGCCAGCTCGCTCGCAAGTAGCATCTGGCCCCGAGCCCCAGAACAACTCACGGACGCGAGGCTCTCCCCAAGCTCTACAATAGGGCTGCCGAAGAACGCGCACACACACACACACACACACACACGCACACGCACACGCACACGCACGCACGCACGCACGCACGCACGCACGCACGCACGCACGCACGCACGCACGCGCACACACACACACACACACACACACACACACACACACACACACACACACACACACACACACACACACACGCACACACAACAGCCCCATGGGCCTGACAGCGCCAGTCGGCTTGTCCAAGAAAACCACGTTGGCCACGAAAAGAACGATCGCCCTTGGATTGGCCCCGAAGAGAGTCAGGATTTCCAACAAGCGAAACTGATGACTTCCAGGCAATTGCAGCACCCATCTGGGGTGAAAGCCGCCCCAGACCAGGCCCGCCGAGGGCCCGCGCGTCTCGCGCACTATGCCAAGACCTGCCAACCGAAGGGGCGCTCGGTCAGGCTCGCCAGGCGGAACCCCCCAAACGCGCGAAGGCGGCCCTCGGCCAGCCGGCCAGCCTGAAACCGCGTCGGACGCCAAGCGTCCAGTAGGTGCTGGAGAGCAGCATGGCCAGCCATAGGAAAAGCTTGATCGTTGCTGCCTCTTCCGGTGCAGCTGACGACCTGCTGCTTCGAGAAGGCGCGCGCTGCCTTCCCCCCTCCAGCGACGGATTTCTTGGCCCGCTCCTTCCACATGGCCAGCTGCGCAGCCGCGCCCTGCTTCTGGCGCCCTCGGAGAGGGTATCCAAATCCCCGGCTCCAAGACCAACGCGCCCTGATTCGGACCTTCACAATCTCTAGGTCCGAAAACGCGCCGCCTGGCTTCAGCTCCCAGGCGCCCAATAAGCGCCGACCTTTCGCTCCAGGAGACCCTCCGTCGATGGCCCTGACTTCCCGAAGCAAGGAGGCGACGGCGATCCACGCGGTGGCCTGCTGCGAAGAGCGACAACGACAATCCCGCTCCATGAGCGAAGCCAGCGGGGCCCCACGCGCCCGGGGCCCAGCGCAGCGCCCAACCTAGCAACGGAAATCTTCGATTCCGTGAATCTCGACGAGCTGCTGTTCCCAATCGACGCATCACTCTTTCGAAAGTCATTCGGGATCACGATCTAAAAGGGTCGATCCATTAAACAGCCCTCTCAGCAGGCAACGGGCCCATGACCGATGCGCCGAACGGCTTGAAACGCACCTGCCGGTCCACGACAGCAGGCTGGCTGGGCCCCCTCATCCGCGGCAGCACTGGGCCACGGGGATAAAGGCGCCCCTGAGACTACCTGAACATCTCGAACACTCGAACTGATCGACGATGAGACGACGAAGTAATCCAACCCCTTTTCCCCCCGAGTCGTGGGCGACGAACTCCTCTCCCTCATCCTCCCTTGGCCATCCTAGAAGCACTCGCTGAGCCGGCGGGCTGACCTGGAACTGCCAGAGCGCCATGCACTTGGCGAAGCCGGCCTGACAGAGAAAGAGCCACAGACGCGCACTGGCGAGCAGAATGTTGCCCGGCACCTCCAAATTCTTCAACTTCTCACCTGCGACCCCGAGGTCGTCGATAAGATAGACACAGTAGATCTCTAGGCCCTCGTCGAACTTAACGCTGAGCAAACGCCCCGCGACCCCCCCCCCCCCATCGCTTACCTTGTCCTAGAAAGCCCAGAGGGCGAGAACCGATGCCAGCTGCACGAGGACCCCCGCACCTGAGCTCCGAAGCGGGCCTGGGCCCGCTGAAAGCCCCCCCGAGAGACATCGCACACGCGTTGCGGCGGGCCCAGCTCTGGGCCGAGATCATCTCGTCAGCGTCTTTCAGGCGGGCCCCCTGGAGGGCCAAAACCTAAAACTTGTCCTGGAAGCCTTCGCCCCAAGAATCGTCGCTGCCCGCCGCATCTCGGAAACACTTGACTACAATGTCCGCCGTGGACCAACCGCTCACATTAACTCATGAAATGCACGAATCCCGCGAATCACGACCGTCTCGATGCGCTGGTGGCCCCCTCGGTTCCCCCTAGAACCACTACGCCCAGCCGCGCCAGGTCGCAGCCCACCAGATCCAGACGAAGGGCAAGGCCGCCCTAGGTTTCCACCCCCAACTTCATCAAGTACAACAGGACGTGGTGACTGAACACCGGCACGAGGCTGCCCATGACTAGCCCTTGCTTGCGACGAAGAGGTCGAGGCCGAACTGGTGATCTGGCTCGCTCATGCCCCCAGTCCAGCGGAAAGCACTTCGCCGGCCACCCGGGGGGGTAAATCGCTAGCTCCTCGAGCCGGCGGATCTTGACCGTGATGTTTTGTCGAGACCACGTGGGGCTCCGCAGGGGGGCGAGGGAAGAAAACGTCGCGTCGGCCGACGCTCTGCGCGCGAGTCGTGGCTGAGGTGCGAGGTGGCCCATGACCGAGAGCTCGATCTCGCGGTCGCTAAACAAGATGCGGAAGCCGACCGTCACGCGGAATCCCCGCCAGCCCCTCCACCGCGCCTGACCTACGGGATCCCACGCGCTGAGCCAGGAGCTTTTCAGAGCCCGAGCCCTGCACAGACTCCGTCCGCGGAAAGGTCACCAGCTTCTCAGGAGCCAAGGGCCCGCCGCTGGAACGAATAGCTTAAGTCGAACTTCGCGCACTCGAAATCGGACTTCATGTGCCGTCGCCCTCTTCGTTGGCCTCGTGGGCCCGAGGGGGGCAGCGCCTCCTGGACGCCGGCCGCCCCGCGGCCTGGCTGTTGCCTAGACGAGGCCATGCAGCTGGAGGCAGTCCGAGCACCAGTGGATCGTCAGGAACGGCGCTGACGTTGGGCCTCGAACTCGGCGAGATACTTGGCCACCTCCTGCTCTGCGCTCTCAGCTCCCATCGCCCGCTGGAGCCCCTGCTGGAACTCGCCGTCGTAGTCCTCGGCTTCGGCAGGCCTGCCCATGGGGGCGCCACGCTGTTCAGCTGGAGCAGGACCAGGATCCCCAGCAGCACCTCCTCCAGCCCCTTGGGGCGCCTGAGCCGCTGCTCGGGCCTCACGCTACAGGCGCTGCAGCGTCTCGAGCGCCGACTGGCCCTCGGCAGGGCTGGTGACCGCCTCGTCGAGGCCAGCCAGCCCCACAGCGATCAGGTCCTCGACGCCGGCGAAGTTGACCCTGTTCCGTGGAGCATCTTCGCGTGCTGCTTGAGCTCCGCGCGGGCCTCTTCGAGCTGATGCGTCGTCTCCTCGAAGGTTTTGGTGAGCTCAGCCTGATGCTACTCGAACTCCGCGATGCAACCGACGAGACTCTCCACCTTGCGAGTCGCGTTCTCCATCCTGTGGCGGGCGGCGATGGCCGAGAGCGGCCGCGACTCGCAGGCCTTGAATTTCGCCTGCTCGGCGGTGGAGATTGCCGACGGGTCGACTCCTTGCACCTTGAGGAAGGCGAGCACCTGCGCGAACGACAAGTCCGACACATCTGGCCCACCTGATTGGGCGGGGGCCTTGGGTTTGCTGGAGCCGCCGCCGCCTCGTCATCCTCCTCCTTGCTGCAAGGCCGCCAGCTGAGACTTGAGCACCTGGACCTTCTTGGCGAGGCTGCCGCCTCCTGGAGGCCCATTGGCCCAGGCACCGCCAGGGCGGCCTGCACCTGGAACCTGCTTGCCGCGCGCCACAGTAGCTGCATCACGTGCGGCTTGGGCGATCCTTGCAAAGGCGCCGTTGCCGCAGCCGCGGCACTTGAGCCGGCTGGCCCAGCTGCCGCTCTCTCCGCACCGCCCGCATCCCCAGCAAGGAAACTTGGGTCCAGGCAGCACGTTTCCTCCTCCGCCGCCCTGCGGGGCGCCCATGGCGGGCGCTGCTCCTCTGAACGGCTCGTGGTGATGTGAAAGGTTCGCTGGCACCAACGCCACTTCAAAGTAAGCACCAGCAACGTTCTCTGAGCGCGAAAGGGCTAGCAGGAGGAAGAGGAGGAGGAGGAGGAGGAGGAGGAGGAGGAGAATGAGGAGAAGGAGGAGGAGGAGGAGGAGGAGGAGGGGGAGGAGGAGGAGAGGAGGAGGAGGAGGAGGAGGAGGAGGACGGAGAAGGAGGAGGAGGGGAGGAGGACAAAGAGGAAGAGGAGAAGGAGGAGGAGAAGAAGGGGGAGGAGGAGAAGAGGGAGGAGGGAGAGGAGGAGAGGGACGAGGAGGAAGAGGACGAGAAGGAGGGGGGAGGAGGCTGGCCAGGAGAGCGTGGGGAAAGACCCTGCTGCCTCTGGTGTTGTCCTTGCGATGCCGCCGCGGCCCGCCGCAGGCACGAGGAGCAGCCCCGGGAGAAGGAGGAGGACGAGGGCGACGAGAAGGGAGAAGGAGGAGGAGGCAGGAGGAGGATCAGTACCGAGGAGATGTCGCCGCGCCGTTTGTCCCCGACGCGCCCACGTGGACGAAGCCGACACCACGGCAAACCCACGGCAAGCCCAGCGCCCCGCGCCCAAGCGGACGAGGCCGGCGCCGCGGTAAACCCACGGCAAACCCACCGCGCCCGAGGCGGCGTTTGCCCTGGTGCCTGCGGCGCCCCCCCCAAGGCGCAAGGCCGCACGTCGGAACAAACGGGGAGGCGACAGATGAAAAAGGCGGGAAAGAGGAACTCAGTGCTGAACAAGCTTCGAAGAAAGGCTTCGGTGCACAGGCGGGTAATGGCAAAGGGCAAGGCGGACGGAACGAGAGACGTAGGTATTAACTTCGAGCGTCCGCGGACGGCGGAGCTGTGCCAGCGCCCAGCCCCTTCCCCAGCGCACGCCGCGCGCTGGCAAAGGCGCCGCCCAGGGGCGCACGAAGAGGTCCGGGCCTTGCGACGGGGAGCTGCAGTCCTCAGACGTCCGAAGCCTGAGCTTGTGTGCTGTCCTGGCGTCCGTCCGACAGAGAAACTCGAGGCGCCAATCGTGTCCTGAAGATCCTTCACCCTTTGCACCATCGTGATCTTGTCGGTGACGTCCTTGGACAGCTGCGCGCCACGGGAGACCTGGCGCAGGCCGACAGGATCGCCGGCAATCGGCGAGGATGGGCTGGGGGTGCTGTCACGTTCGTCCGCGCAGCGTCAAAGGAGAGAGGGGAATGAGGAGAATGAGGAAGAGGAGGAGGAGGAGGAGGAGAAGGCGGAGAAGCGAACCTCACCAAGGGAAGCTCGTTCGTGTTGCAGCTGAGAGGCCAAGATTGAACAGAAGAAGGAGGACTGCCTCTTGGTGTGAGCGAGAAAGCGCCCATGGGAGGAGGAGAACGAAGACGAGGAGAAGAAGACGCATTGCGCAAGCGGGCACTGATTGCAGAGACCCCGGCTGGCGACGCACGCTGCAGAGGGCCCCTCCTCCACCAGGTCCCCCTTCCAACGCCCTCTGCTGCTCTCTCCGCTGCTATCCTTGCTGCTCTCTCCGCTGTCCGCACTCGTCCCCTCATCACTCCTCCCCCTCCTCCTCCTCCTCCTCCGCCTCCTCCTCCTCCTCCTTCTCCTCCTCCACCTCATCCTCCTCCTCCTCTTCCTCCACCAGCTCCTCCTCCTCCTCCTCCTCCACCTCCTCCTCCTCCTCCACCTTCTCCTCTTCCTCCTCCTCCTCCATTCCTTCCCCTTATAGATAACTCCTCTCTGTCGC